CAACTTCTTATCCGATCTGGTTTAAGGAGGAACGCCACTAGAGGGTCCTGCAATATCCTTGAACTTGAACAAGCCATCGGTAAACGCCGGTGCTCGACCAGCTCCATCCGGTAACAAGAAAGCAATGCAGACTCATTCGCGATCAAAAGATGACCAGTCCGGAAGACCTTGTCGCAACAACTTTAACAAACCTCAGAGCTCGTTCGACATCATAGAACTCCTGGAGTGCACTGAAAATGCATATTATGACTTTAGAGGTCGGACATAAAAAAATAAATATATAATAAAAGAAGATAGCCTAAGTTTCAGAACCGACCTATGTTGTCGGACCAAAGAGAGGAATCCTTCCGAAATCGAAGTCGCCCACCGACAAACGATCGATCTTGAAAACAAAGAACCCTTCTGACCAATCTTAATCACAGTAGGGAATCCCTTGGATGACATGACGTTCCACACGTGGTGACATGAGGAAAGTTCCAGAACTTTGGTTGTTCCTTTTCAACAAACACAAGTGACAGAGTTCCTCTAGACTGAACCGCAAACCTTCTTCGCGAGCCCAAACCACTAGTACCAAATGATGTCTTAAGAAGTTTGGGCACATCTGTGTGAGAGATATGCCCAATTCAGGCACAATTTGGAGAATTGGTCGCGGAATTGGAAAGAAAAGACTGCAGGACTCAAACAACGAGAGATACGCTCCGCAAAATCCATCGTGAACAGTCTCATGAGTCTCAAACGTACAGGCTAGCTCAATCCTGATGCCTCGATCGACACCGTGTATCGTGTATAAGGCCTCGAGAAGATGAGTAGTGGTTGTCAGAAGAGGAAAAGAAAACGACACAGACATTCTAGATTGAGAGACTGAAAATGCAAAAGCTAAAATTAAGAAGAGAAAGAAAGATTTAAGAAAAAAATGGAGAACCTCGAGTATTTAAAGACATACGCCGACTCCAGAAACGGCCTTGTCATTAAAAACGAGAAGAAATAAATGATTAGGTTTAGCCTCGAACGCGATGTAAATAGCCGTTCGAAACAGAAGACGCACGCACCAATGGTCCGTAGACAGGGAGGAGACAAGTGTCGGATCCCTTCAAATAAAGAAACTGAACCGTCTCTTTTCAATTGAGACCAAATGGGCCATTTTACCCTTCACTATAGGAAAAACATTGGGGGAAAAATGTTGGACCCAATTTCAGTACTTCAATAAATAGGCCCAGGCCCATTCATCATCGTCATCAACTCGGCATCTTCGAGTACGATGGGGTCGAAGTAAGATTCCAAAGATCGTGGAACCAGTTGAAACAGAAGAAGACTATAAAAAGAGGAGCTGGAGCAAAGTACACAGAAACAGAAAACCCTAGAGCAAACCACTACTCTCATTGACCTCACTCCTTAACATTAGTTCGTATATAACTTCGATATTTCCTTGTTGTTCTCGATATTGTTTACTACTTTGTATCGAATCTCATATTCAATAAAGTCCATTTTGTCAACCGAATTCCGATTGTATCGTTGTGTTCTAAGAGCATCGTTGCCCACATCATTTGTCTTCCCCAGATTAAACTCTTGATCACTACAAAATACTTAGTGTGGATTTTAGGATCTACAATCATCACACTCTCTTCCGATGGTTGGAGACCTTTGGTCGCCAATTATTTCATGTACTTCTTTAGAGGGGAAGAAATGTGAACAGCATCACTGAGTGGCATCTCGAGAGTTATCTTCTCGAATGCTTTCTTGCTTATGGCTTTTTCCAGTTCTCGTGTCGCTTTCTTTTGGGGTGTCGATCGACACTTTCTTGCTGCCGTCGATCGATATTCAGCTTAATTTCTGATTTGGCTTCCTTCTCATCGAGATCAGGTTGCACCTCTTCATCTCAGTCTAGTTTCTTCATTGCCTTTTTAAAATTTGGGGCGAGTTTTCTTCCACTTCTCAATGTAACAGCATTAACTGGCTGTCTTGGGTTAATGTCAGTTCTTCCAAGAAGAAATTCTTCATCCCTTCTGACAACGTAGCGTTATTCGCAACTTGGCTATCCAATTTCTTGACATGGTCACTCAATGTCTTAAACTTATCATGTAAATCAGAATACGCGGAATCCAGTTTTGTATCGAGAACCGCACTCACTTTCTGCTGGCCTTTCAGTACTTGTCCAATATTAGATTTCAGCTTGCTCTTGTGAGACTGTTCTGTCTCGTAGATTACTATGAAGCTCATGTTGATCTGCTGATCAGCAAGTCTATGTTTTCGATAACTAGTCCCATTGATGAGATCTACATGGTCTTCTTCTTTTCTTTCACATAAAAAGGTCTCAAATATCTGATCGATAATTGAGATCTTGGCCATCTTATTCCTCTCAAGATTTGTCTTCACGGTACTAGTGCTTGATGCCACATTCTCAATGAGCCACATAGCTTCTTCAGGGGTCCTAGTTTTGAAGTTCCCTTAAATTGCAGCATCCAATGTCGCTTGGTATGTCCAGTCGAGACCTCTGAAGAAAATATGAAGTAGCTGGATTTCGGAAAAAACATGGTGTTGGCAATCTTGCTGGTAATCTCTAAATCTTACCTAAGAGGCTTTAAAATATTCCTTGAGAGAAATTATAGATCTTATTCCTAAATTCTTTGGTTCGTGCTTCATCGAAGAAGTTGTTTAGGAAGGCACTTTTGATATAACTCCAGCGAGTTAATGATCCTGGGTGGTGAGTAACATCTCCAGCAAGAAAATACGGGAAAAGTTTACAGAATAGGTAGTCTTCAGAGATTCAGTGCATCTTGATGTTTGACACAAGGGCTTCAAGAGCTTTGATGTGGTCTATGGGATTTTCATGAGAAAGACCATGAAAGGTGTGTTAACTTACTAGAGAAAAATATTTAGGTTTTCAGTTCAAAGTCTTTCCTCTGAACCACTGGTGGCCGGATCGCATACCTGTTGGTGAAAAACCGATCAGGTATGTCGTAATCTCCATCCGCTCGGTCATGTTCCAACCCAGCATTCATAAAAATAGCTACTCAGACAGGAATTTCAGCCCTATGTTTTAATTAATTGATCTGATGCGTTGCATACGCGACCCTTTGAATCTCTTAGAACTACTTTCCCTATATTGAAATTGGTAAGCACAGACTTACATGTTTCTGGCCGGTCGGTGTCGATCGATTTGTGTGCTCTCGCGTTGCTCGATTGTTGTGTATCCTCATCGATCGATTCTGGCTTGAATATGTCAATCCCTTTGTCTCTCGATGCGTCGCTTGATGTGTTCATCATCCTCAGCAGAAACTTGTGTTCCTCTTCTAAAGTACCTATGTCAACAGGGAAAGAAGAAATTTTTTTAACTAAACAGAAAGTAAAATCTAGACTATATTCTAAACTTAATCTAATGGTAATAAGAAAGAGTCCCCGGCAACGACGCTAAATTTGATATCACTCAAATTACTCTAAGGAGTGAATTACTCTCTCAAATAAGAACTTCAGTTATAGTACTTAGGGATCGAATCCACAGTGACTCTAAGATTACACAATATATTATAGTATTTAAAATAAAGCTAGTCTGAAAATTGGTTTAAAACAGTAAATAAATGTGGTGAGCAATGTAGTTGCTTAGATGACTGATTTGAGGTTGTTAACAAGTTAGAAGATAGCTAGATTCAGGTAAATTCTCAATTATGATAAGTATGCAATTTATGGTTATAAAGGGTTTATGACTTTCAATTGTTCTCGAACTGAAAGTGTTTGTGTTACAATCTATCAACTTTCGAATGCATAGATTATCTAATGCTTAGACCTAGGAATCCAACTTTCGTATGCGAGTCCTAAGGGAGTATCGATCGATGTCCCCTCTGGATTGTCGATCGATGTCTGGTATTGACTATCAATCGATGTATCCTATGGAGTGTCGATCGATAATAATTCTAGAAAAATGTAGCGAATAGGTTTGATGTGTTCTCTAACCACCTAGATCAATTTTCATATGCACCTAGCTAATCAGATCATACTAGTCTTATTCAGGAAACATGCCAAGCTTTCACTTGTACTAATCAATCCTAAGATAAAGTAGATGAAGAACTAATAAAGTAAACCCTAACAACAACACAGATTGAGCAAACCATGAATCAAACTTTGAAGACCCTAAATCTAACAAGATAACTACTCAGACATATTCATAAGAAACCTTATGATGGTGTGAATAATATTGCAATAGAATAATTACGAAAAAAGTAGAGTAAATAAACAAAGGGAGTTCAAGATCTTCCCTCTATCAAGGTGTTCAGATCTCTCTCTCCAATCCAAAGCTCTCTCTCCATACAAAAATAAGCATAGCCATCAACAATGGCTTAGAAAACAGTAAAATAGGGTTTCCGATCATGCAGGGATATTATGGTAATTTGTGGTAACTCCGAGGCCTAAATAAGTAATAGAACATCCTAGGTCCACATTCTGGTATCTATGTCGATCGATGTCAAGTGTGTTGCATCGATTGATTTTCGTTTATCTTCTCGACAACTTCCTTTCGCGAGGCATACTGACCACTCTTTAGTAAACTGGGCATACCTTTCCTACAGGATTCTTATTTACCTCAGACCGGTGCATTGGAAAGCTAACTCAAATCTCTATAATGTGTCAAAATATAGCCTCAGTCTAATGGTGTGAAATTCTACATCCATAGCTATAAATCGGACACGTCTATGCAGTCTTGCACTCAAAAGACTACAAAAGATTCCAAAATCACTATTTTTCTCCAGATTGTACCTATACTATAACTACTCTAAAAAGACTATATTGTAGTAAATATATCATAAAAGACTTATATACCATGGCTTATAATGGGTAAAATCCATGGTATACCAGCACACAAGATAAGGACCTTGGCGTCGCTCAAGTGAGAGTTTTAGTATCCGCTCGAATGTCTTCTGCCAAGGGGAAGGATCCAAACGAAGCGTATCTATAAGAAGAAACAAGAACTATCAAAAATCCGACAGTTGGAGAAGCAATCAACATGATTCCTACGACCCACCAGCTGCTTGCCAAACAGGATAAAATCCTGGAAGATGCATAAATACAAATTTCTCGTTCCAACAACCCTCAAAGACTGGATCACGCTTCCGTTCCTCTATAGGAATTTCCTGAACGAGGGGTATTTTGCTACAAGGATGAAGATAGTACCTCCCTTCTCCACTATTCAAAGGAGACACAGAGTAGTGACACAAGACCTCAGCAACCCCGATGACCAGATCTTTTGCCACCAGCGAGGGAACTCTGTTTCTGAAACTGGACTCGAAGAACCCCTTGTAAACAGGGATCTTATCGATCTCAAAGTACGAAACCCTATCGATAGGGCCAGGGATCCTAATGGCAACGTCCTCGGAGAGGCTATACTTCTCCCTCCAAACCACAACTTTCTCCCCTCCTACGACGAAAGAGGACCTAACGAGGAAAATCTAGTTCCCCCATAGCGAGCGAAACTTCCTCCATTATGGCTTGACCAAAACCCTCGACTTCCGCGGTCAGATTTAAAGAAGAACCCGAGGAAGCCATAGATTCTGATGGGGTGATCTCAGTTATCTGCTTCTTTACCCGAACCCTACCATCGATGGAAGAAAAGTCTGGAGCCAGATTCGGCTTAGGAGCCATTCTAAAAGTGGGAAGATTCGAGGGTAGAACCGAAAATTAAAACGAGATAGGTTAAGAAATGCAGTTACCTGAGGAATAAAGAGCCGAATCGGCGTAATCACCAAAGATCTTTTGAGAAAGAAAAAAAGTGAAAGTGGCTGCAACACGAGGAGAACGAAAGAGGGTTAAAAACCCTAACCATAATCCCACGCGTGGGAGTGGTTCTCAGGTCTTCTTCAAGAGTCCTAGAGGATTGATCTTTTATTCGGAATCCCGTACCAAGTTTGGAAACTCTAGAGGAGAGTACATATTCTAGCTTCCCCAAGAAAAGATCATCAAGACCTCAGGTCCTACCGCAACGACAAAATCAAGAATCCAAGCGAGCATTGTTCAAATCAATCTCCGACCAAACAAGGAATAATTCATCCTCACCTGGGTCCAGAATGAGTTCCGTCTTGAGTGAAACCCGAGATACCAAGATCATTGGAGCGAGATCCTGCCTAAGTGAAGCCTGCTGAGAATAAGCAACTCCGGTTGACTTGAGTGCATGGGTTATTCCTCGAATCTGATAACGAAATCGACAAATAAGGGGCAAGCTGTTGGGGAAAAATACTCAGGTATCATTTTCCTCCAGCCTCCATGCAGGGTCCAGACCCCTGGGTCCCCAATAAGAGAAAGCTCCAGGGGCTCGATAAAAAGAACTCCGAGATCAGTCTTAGGGACCATCCCCCGATCAAGAAAATGGAAAACTTCCGATTGGGAGAACCTTCCATATTTCCAAATATGGAAGACTTCCATCTACTCAAACTGACAAGAACCTGCTAAGACGGCTATATAAGGGTTTCTAAAACCCTAGAGCTGGGAATCAACACTTTGAGACTTGGAGACTAAACTTAGGTGGCTAAGGTTAGGGTTCTTACTAAAATACTTGTAATCCTTGCTTTTCTATTAAATAAAGATCTCTTCAAGAGTATATTTCTCATCAATACCTCTAAACCCATACGAAATACCTTTTATTCTATACAAACTACCAACTCATCTATCGTTCCGCAGTACTATAAAAGATCCTACACAAAAATTTCGTAACAGTATACTCTAAGCTTATTAATAGATAGATATACCTTATTATATCTTTAATAATTAACTTCGTGTTCTATAAATTGAAACCCCCTTAGCATTCTATCCATTATAACCCAGTACCTCAAAACCCTAAATATACTATATTCCTTATTTGTTCACCACCCAAGAATTTTCATATTTACTTGTTTTAAAACTACTATAAATTTCCTACCACAACTAAATTGAATATCAAATCTATTGTGTCCCCTCGCTCTTTGCGGATTTGATCACTAAGTACTACATCTAAATTTCTTATTTGAGAGTGTAATCACTAGCTCTAGGGTAATTGAGCTCTTATTAAATTTGGCGCCGTTGCCGAGGAGCAAGGATTCAACAATAGATTTGTTTTTGCAAGTTTTGTCTAGGTTTTTGTTTTATTTTTATTTACTTACAAATCTTCTTTTTTATATGTTAAGCGTATGCCCAACTTAACCAGAAGCAACAAAGAAAACGACCTAATCTTCTGAGACCCAGTAACCATCGAACGTAACCTCCTCAAAGGGAAACAACAAGCATCGATCAAAGCCAACACTAGTCCATCGACTGACATTAGTCTTCAAGAATCGATCGATGCCAGTACAGTGACATCGATCGACATTAATTCCCGAGCATACATCGTTGCTATGCTTATCATAACTAGGAATGAAGAGGAGACTTGTATAACCTCAAGGGTCATATGCATAATGCCGCAGGTCAGAAAGTTGATGATTATGGGGCTGTAATCTCTGAACCATAAGTATCTGAAGCAGAAGCTACTGTAGCTCCAGCTGGAGCTGAGGCCCAGGCTTCTCAATGTAGAACGTTAGCTGACTACAACCGTTCAGATTAGTTCTATGCAAACCGATCTGCCATTCGTCCTCCATCTTTCAAGAGGAAGGATTATGAGCGAAAGCCAACCTATTTCACATTGGTGGCTCAAACATGATATCATGGTCTCTCACATCAGCATCCTATTGATCACTTGGAACGATTTGAGGATCTTGTGTCTGCCATCAAGGCTACCGGAGTCCTCATGGAATATGTTTTATGCAAGCTCTTTAAGTACTCACTTTCTGGAGAAGCTTCATACTGGCTTAAGCTGCTACCACCTGGATCTCTTACATTCTGGACTGGCAAGAAAAACGCATTTCTGCGTATTGGGAAAGATATTCTTGTATAACAACCTCCTAGGACTCGGGCAGGAACCGGCCTCAAGGTTCCTGCTAGGAGAAAGTCCTGGTTCCTACCCCTGCTTATGTCTTCGCCTCCGGGTAAAAAGAAATTTTTCCGAATATGGAAGAGTTTAACCTACCTAACCGACGTCTCCACGACTATATAAGGGGAGCCATTCCCTAGAATAAGGGATCGGCATTCAGAAACTAAGAAATTAGAGTTAGGCGGCTAGAACTAGGGTTTATACACTAAACATTGTAGTTTGTGGGAACTGGAATCCACACCGTTGATTACTGTAAATTAAGGAACTTAGGGAAAAACCTAATTTCCCAGAGGTCCCGGATATCTGCTAAACCACACCCCAAGCAACCAGAAAACGAGAATTACAGGAAAAATAATTTGAGAATCGAAAAGAGAGCAAAGAGGTTTCTTATTCCGATTTTGCGTAAGAACAGTACAATGAGGTAAAGCCTTGGCTACAAGAGCTGACGACGAGTTTCCTAGTTCTAGCAACCTAAGACTAAAACCCTAGTTGAGACGCAGCTCGATAACAAAAACGGAAAGTTGCCTAAATGCTAAGTTTTTCTGTGTGATGAGAACTCTTGGAAATTCGTCCCCTTTTTCTTGTCTTCAACCTTGTGCTTATATACTCCTCTCCTAGGCAGTTTAGCCTTTCCTTTTCCGCCTTGATTCGTTTTTTTTTTGGAAATCTTCCATTTCTTTCGATTCTCCATTTTTATCTTGGAAAACTTTTATTTTTCTCCGAACTTGACATTTATCTTCTTCCTGCACATAAATAGGATAAACCGTCATTGCATCTCTGGGCCGGACTTTCTCGAAAGTCACGTATGGGCCTTTATCGCGTTTTTGGACCTTTTGGGCCATTTTGTGACTTAGCCGTTTTACGACTTGACACGAGATCGTTCCGTGATACGATGGCGTTTTAATACAACATCTTTAGTTAATCGTATAGGTTGGCAATCTCTGGTGTTTTGTTTTTTTGCCATTTTATACGATTTACTCGAGTTTTTACGAGAAAAAATGTCCTTACGGTTTTTATCGTAAAACTCCAATGATAAGACGGATCGATACAAAACAAGAGATGTTCCGATCATGGTTCAGAGTACGATCGGGTCGAGGGACGTATGCCTTTTGTTTGAGCAAAGCGGAGGGTAATGTTGGGAAAAAATATCCAGGCACCAGATTCCTCCAGCCTCTAGCCCCGGGCTGGGCACCGGCCTCTAAACAACTGCTCCGAAGGGACCCATGGCCCGGACCCTGCATCCAGGTTCCCCGGGCCTGACCCTTGCTCCAAAACCGACCCTTGGATAAAATGGAAGTTCTCCACTTAAGGGAATTCTTCCATATTCTCCATTATGCAAGGGTTTAACTTAATATGAGCCGACATCTACACCTATAAAAGGAGAACCCAAACCCTAGAATAAGAGATCGACACTTTAGAGATAGAGAGACTAGACCTAGGCGGCTTGAATTAGGGTTTATACACCAAACATTGTAGTCCCCCTTCGATTAATCAATAATACGTCTACTTCTCTACTTGTTTCTTATTGCTTCTCTTCGATTTCAACTTGCCTCTTATAAATCTTTTTGTGTTCCGTAGTACTAAAATGACCCTACACAAAAATACCATAACAGCTTCGTGCTAGAAGGAGGGGAGTAATCCAACTACGTTACGATGACCCTAGAAGAGTCAACCGAACAAACCGGAGCTACTTCGATAGAAGCCTAGCTCCTCAACCAGCTCGATACCCTTCAAGGAGAAATCACCGAGTTCTGCAAGACTCGAGACATAGCCGGCGGTATCTCAGAACTTCTCCAAGAAGTTCAAAACCTAAAAGCTAAACTCGATGAGCACACCCAACAGCTGCAGCGAAGTGCGGAAAAGGTAGGGGCACTCGAAGCCGAAAACCATCTTCTCCAAGAAGAGAACCAATATCTCGGGAAAAACGGAAACAAGCGCTGGAGGTTTTGAACCCGAATTCGAACCATGCCTTCCTTTGACACTCCTATCGACGAAGACGGTGTGACTTGGCATCCAGCCCTCGACGATAAGGAACCCGAGGGTAAGGCAACTACGACGACGAAAACACGAGTAACCATAAGCAGTGACTCTGATATGGAGGACAAGGAATACTCACCCGACGACCCCTCGATCTAAGATCCAGCAGCCGTGGCTTGCCTCGCAAAGATGTTCTCCGAAAGATTCAACACTATCCAGTCGATGGTAGAGAGGCTTCCAGGCGGTGTTCCCCCCATCAGGAGAAGCGACCCCGGATCCTACTCTGATACACCCTTCGTGGAGGAAATCGCTTCAGTCAAGATGACGAGGAAATTCTCTTTACGCACCATAAAGACCTACGATGGGACCAGTGACCAAGCAACCACGTGGATCTTTACAAGCAACGGATGACAGAAACAGTCCCCCTAGGACTGAGAGAACCTGCCATGTGCAGGGGCTTCGGCTCAACCCTGACCGGTCCTTCCCTCCAATGGTACATCAAACGAGGTTGGATCTTCTCTACAAAGAGGTCAATAGAAAAGTAGAGAGCTTAGATACCCATGTCAAGACGCTATACACCCAAGCTTCTCAGAGTGCAGAAGCTGTGACGAAGCAAGAAGCTCTGATCGTAGGGAACGTTGTGGAAAGTGACCCCAGGTTGATGACATTTTAGATAATAGATGTGGTGAAACACTTAAAGCAGGAGAAGCTGGAAATATTCCTTTCTAGT